AGTTATTAGTTATCTGTACTTAACTAGTGTGTGTGTGTGTGTGTGTGTGTGTGTGTGTGTGTGTGTGTGTGTGGGTGGGTGGGGGAGAGGAATTCATAATGTCAGTATAACGATGACCTTAAAAGTAAGAATACAAAAATTTGGAACTTGTACGGAATGACTTAATATCATCTTTCTTTGTCTAAAGCGGAAGAAGTGTGAGATAGCATATTCTATTGTTATTTTGTTATAGATTTCTTTACCGTTCATTTATTATTCATTCTATCGTTTGGTTAACCTCTGGATTTTTATTTGCACTTCAACGCTAACTCACCTTCTAGATAATCTCATCAATTTTTAATTTGTATGAATTATGAGACTGACATCAGTTTCCCCTTATCAGTGACGTACAGATATTAATATTGGTAATAAGTATGTACAAGATTTGTTGTTTAATTATTAAAAATTAACTGATCTTAGAACTCTAACTTCGTTAAGCTGAACTAGAACCGAAAGAGTCGAATATATAAAAATGGTTTCTCCTTGTACTATATCTGTAGATAAACCGTATAGGATGTCAGTATAACGTTACAAGTAAGGATTTAATTTAAAACTAAATAATGGAATCACTTCTAAAGGGCAAAGAGTGTGAAATAGAAAGTTTAATTTTATCTCGTTTTGAATTTGTTTAGTTATTTCTCATTCTATCATCATTTAGTTAATCTGCAAATTTTTAATTTGCATTTTAGTTATTCACATCAATTTAAAATTTTAATTATGAGACCGACACCAGTTTCTCATAGCGGTGACTTATAGATGTTAATGTTGGTAATAAGTATATAAATAATGATCACATTATTTCAAATCTCTTCATCTAATCAATTATAGCAACTTTGCTGGTCTTTGGACTTAACTTCCAGTAACCTGAATCGGAGCAGAAGGTAGAGAATCTGAAGATCTGAGAACACTACGCCTTTTGTAAGGTAGTACTTAAACTGGGCAGGATTCATGGTGTCAGTATAATGAGGTCATTAATAGTGAGGGTACTAAAACTGGTAATTTATAAGCAGTGATTGATGTGATCACTTCGGTTTTTGAACTGTGAATGAATACGAGGTAGCAAATTCTACTTTTATTTCGTTATGGTTTTGTTTTCTGTTCATTTATTATTCTTTCTATTGTTTATTTTACCTGTAACATTTGTTTTACGTTTAAACGCTACTTCTCATTCTAATCAATTACGTCATCTTAAAGTTTCTAAAAGTTATGAGACTGACACCAGTTCCCTGTATCAGTAACTTGCAGATATTAATGTTGCAAAAGAGTATGTAGATAATGTTAATATCAATTTTCAATATTTTTCAATAAATTGTTTCACGAGGGATGGTGAGCAGGTGTTATTATTAATTATTAGATATTTTAATAACTTTAATATATATATATATATTTATTTATTTACTTCTTATTTTACTGTTTCATTTTCTAATTCCTTTCATTTATAGAAATATTAATCCTGATTGTTATATTATTCTTTCACCTTGGTAAGAATTTCTGATCATCGTCTTATGCATGAACTATATGTAAACTCTTTGATAGTTTACTTTATAAGGAATCAAAAGACATCTTGGAAAAAAGTAGCATAATACCCAACAACACCTTCAACCGTAGATGAACAAACATAACCATATTGTACAGAAGGCAATACTCAACGTTGAAAAGCATCGGAAGCTACAGCGAGAAGCTTACAACCGTAAGAGTCTTTGACACAACTAATTAGTTAACTTACTGTATTATTATTAAAAATACATCCGTTGTCTTCTATAGTAAATCGTATTACTGAACGTTTATTCTAATAAGGAATGGACTATTCAAACTTGGTACTTATTTGTATAAATAAATAAATAAATAAAAATATGCTAATGATAGTACGATTTTACGTGTAAAATGAAAATCTCTTTTCTCCAGTGAAAATTCTTTCGACACCAGAGGAAATGCTCATCATCCTATGCCGTTGCAGAAAATTTCAATGGCGCAAGAAGGCTTTGAGATTGCGCCCCCTCCCCTTTCCAATAAGATCAACTTATTTTGGCGTGTCCACATCTCGTCCTTTAACTTAACGAGTCATCTATGTCTTCTGCTGAACCTAGATGGTTTTCGAACTCAAGCACTCCCTGTAAGGTGAACCAGAGCAGGAAACTAGAGAAGATCAATCGGAAGATTTAAGAACATAAACAATGTGTCCTAGTATCTGTACTTAACTGTGGTGGGGATTCATAATGTCAGTATAACGATGACCTTAAAAGTAAAAATACAAAAATTTGGAATTTATACGGAATGTCTTAATATCATCTCTTTCTTTGTCTAAAGCGGAAGAAGTGTGAGATAGCATATTCTTCTGTTATTTTGTTATTGATTTCTTTACCGTTCATTTATTATTCATTCTATCGTTTAGTTAACCTCTGGATTTTTATTTGCACTTCAACGCTAACTCACCTTCTAGCTAACCTCATCAATTTTAAATTTATATGAATTATTAGACTGACATCGGTTTCCCCCTATCAGTGCCGTACAAATATTAATATTGGTAATAAGTATGTACAAGATTTGTTGTTTAATTATTAAAAATTAACTGATCTTAGAACTCTAACTTCGTTAAGCTGAACTAGAACCGAAAGAGTCGAATATATAAAAATGGTTTCTCCTTGTACTATATCTGCAGTTAAATCGTGTAGGATGTCAGTATAACGTTACAAGTAAGGATTTAATTTTAAACTGAATAATGTAATCACTTCTTCTAAAGGGGAAAGTGTGAAATAGAAAGTTTAATTTTATTGCGTTTAGAATTTGTTTTCAGTTATTACTCATTCTATCATCATTTAGTTAATCTGTAAATGTTTAATTTGCATTTTAGTTATTCACATCAATTTGAATTATGAGACCGACACCAGTTTTTCATAGCGGTGACTTGTAGATGTTAATGTTGGTAATAAGTATATAAATAATGATCACATTATTTCAAATCTCTTGATCTAATTAATTATAGCAACTTTGCTGGTTTTGGACTTAACTTCACGTAACCTGAATCTGAGCAGAAGGTAGAGAAGCTGAAGATCGGATAACACTAAGCTTTTTCTTTGTAAGGTATAAGTATTTAAACTGGGCGGGATTCATAGTGTCAGTATAATGAGGTCATTAATAGTAAGGGTACTAAAATTGGGAATTTATAAGCAGTGATTAATGTGATCACTTCGGTTTTCGAACGGGGAAGGAATACGAGGTAGCAAATTTTACTTTTATTTCGTTATGGTTTTTGTTTTCTGTTCATTTGTTATTTTTTCTATTGTTTAGTTAACCTGTAACATTTGTTTTTACATTTAAACGCTACTTCGCATTCTAATCAGTTACGTCATTTAAAGTTTCTAAAAGTTATGAGACTGACACCAGTTTCCATTACCGGTGACTTGCAGATATTTGTTGCAAAATTTTTAATTTAATGTTTTGAATAAAGACTTTGTCATGACTTTCAATGACTTTTCTCACGTGAGATAGTGATCAAATGTTGTTGTTATTCGATGTTTTAAGTTTTATACACGTCTTTCTTCCGTTCATTTTTCTATTTGTTTATATAAACATTAAAACTGTTATTGATGGCATATTGTTTTTTCGTGTTAATGGAAAGTTCTAGCCACTGGCTCATTCATGCAATGTATGCATGCTACTTGATAGTTTACAAGGTGTCAAACAAGGACTTTTTGAAAACAAAATACTTAACATCACCTAGAACCGTAGATGAACGAACGGACCTATTTAGAAACGTTATACAAAGGCAATATCCAACGTTGAAAAACATTGTAAGCTACAGCGAGAAGCTTACACACGTTTGTCTCTTTCGGAAACAATTAAAAGTAGGTAACTCGCTACTATCGTTAATACATCAAATATTTTGC